GCTGTCCCTGTCCTGGGAGTGTTTGATGGGGGACAGTGTAGAGGGAGTTTCACTGTCAATCTAACCCTGTGCTGCTCGTGCCCTCAGAGCTTGGACAGGAGGTGGAAGTGTGTAAAGTGCCTCCAAGTAAGTACCTGATTTGCCACATTCTGCAGCTCCAGTTGATGCCAATGTGCGTGGCATCACGTAGGTTACTGACGTGTCCTCGAGGTATTTGTCCACCGGATCTGGAGAAACTGAGGAGAGAAGGCGAGGGGATGAGTCAGTGATCATTCCAACCACCCACAACAACGAATGAGACACAAAGCAACCTCGTAATGGCTCCAAAGCACACATCTCTATTGAAAAACTAGTACCAGACCCCATCACAAGGGCATTCAGTAAATAAGGTGTGCTTCTCCAAGATACTTAGTGCTGGCCTTTTCGATGACCACACATGCCATTCGGGTGCGGGGCCGATGACTGTCAGGACACCACCAGTACTAATGCAGCAACAGTGCTCTGCTCCCACAGTGCCGACTCTGCAATGGACGATTGCTCCTACGGCACTGACATTCCTTCTGTGCCGACCATCCGACAGTGTGGCACTCCCTCCGCACTGGCCCCTCACTCCCTCAGCATTGGCCTCCAAGGGAGGCGATGACCTAGTGGTATTATTGCTGGACTGTTAACCTGGAGACCCAGATAACGTTCTGGGGACATGGGTTCACATTCCACCACAGCAGATGGTGGAATTTGAATTCAATTTAAAAAAGTCTGGGATCAAGAGCATAACAATGACTATGAAGCCATTGGCAATGGTCAGAAAAACCCACCTGGTTCACTAATGCCCTTTAGGGAAGGATACTGCAATCCTTACCTGATCTGGCCCACCTGACTCCAGACCCATAGCAAATGTAGTTGACTCTCAACTGCCCTCTGGGCGATTAGAGAAGGGCAATAAATGCTGCTTAGCAAGCAACACCTTCACCCCGTTAATGAATAAAGAAAAACAAAACCCTCCGACACCACAGCCCTGACCCCATGATGGAGCAACACGCCCCAAGTCCTAACCATACAACTCTGCAGCGCCCCACCACCCCAGTCCCGACCATCCGACCCTGCGGCGCTCCCCATCTCTGGTCCCAACCCTCTTACCATGCAGCACTGTTTCAATCCTGACCCACAAACCCTGCAGCACTCGCTCAGTACTAACACAGCAACAACGTAACACCGCTTTAGTATTAACCATCCAAAGGGGTGGCGCTGGCCCTCCAACAGTGCGGCGCTCCCTCCGTGCTGGCCCTCCGACAGTGCAGGACATGTTGCATCTTCAATGAGCATTGAAGTGCCTTCACAACACTTTGTGACATTGTGCAAAGGAGTGAAAGGAAGAATGCTTTCCAGACTTTAGCAAGGAAGCCCACGATCCACGTGGCTGACTTGCGCACAGATAGTACCTCACATCCGAGGCACGGTGTTGGCAGTTGCGCACATGACTGGGAGCGGTGGCCCTCTCTGAACCAAACGCCATCTTTCTGCCACGCTGAGGCTGTACCCCCACCCCAGGCGATCGGCGGGGTTGGCCCCCATCCCTTACCCGTCTTCCTGCGCTTCAGCGTGACGTAGGGCAGCAGGTCGTGCCGCGTGATGATGCGTAGGAGCTGCAGCACCTGCCGGAAGTTTGTCTCGTCACAGCGCCCTTGGCGCTCCAGCGCCAGGAAGAAGTCACGTCCGCTCCGGATCATGCCGCGCTCGTAGTCCTCGATGACGTCGACGAAAAGGAAGGACAGTACCCGCACGTCACGATGGGTGAGCTGTGCACCCACAATTTGGAACATCCGATGCAAGGAGTACAGCCCATGCTCGCGGTTCACCTGCTCCTCTGGCCATTGCTGGCCGCTACGCTTGGTGTCTGACATCCCACCTGGGTGGTGGGGTGAGGAGTTTGTAGAGCAACCAAACACAGGAGATCTGGGATTCCCAGCTCACGATACCGATTATCACCTTTCCCCACTCCGGAATGCAGCAAGTAGGGGAGTTGGCAAGCTGTGATAGAGAAAGAGAGAGAGGAAGGGGAGTGGTCGGTGTTGCTATTCACTGTGGACAACAGCCAGCTCACAACTGGTCCCTTCTTGGCTGCTTCTCATCTTGCATCCGCCTGCTCTCTGCCCAGCAAACTCGCCGCAGTTGAACGCTTAAACAAAAACACTCCTGCAGCAATCGAAACAGCAAGCTACTGGAGTGCTCCAATCAACCCGGGTTCAGTTCAGTTCGTCTGACAAGCTAAAACACGGCAGAAGGGCTCGCACAGGAAGACTCCAGGCAAACAATTGAGGCGGTCTTTGGCTGACAGGATAACCTCGAACAGCGGTGAGCTGAGGCAGGCAATTTATTGAACGTGAAAATCCAGGGGAAAACTGGATCGCAGGTCGGCCTACAAACCAGCCCTCGCTTGGCTGTTCAACCAAGATACTGGTCAACAGGGAAGACAGCACCAAACAGACACTCACTTATTGCTGGGAGCTGGCCGCTGCTTTTCTCGTCGGTGCTTATGCAAGCAACCAGATTGCCACCTTCGGAGACTAATCGAGGAGAAATGCACAGCCACAAAACCCCAACGGGTGGCTGCTTTCCTTGCCAGAGCGAACACTTAAGTTTTTGGGCGGGGGGGGGGGGTGTGGTGGTGTTCTGTTGCCTGACCTGGGAGCGGGAACTTGGCTCGTCTATCTCGACAACCCCAACTCCCGCCCCAGACCTGAGCGGTCAATCAAACTGAAGTGGTGCGTGGGGTGGGGGATACAATGGGGGATCCCTTATCGTCTCGTCAGTGGGATGCGAGGGATGGGATTGCTGGGAAGGGTCTTCAAAGAGTCCTGAAAGCTGGGTCCTGGCTTCCTGAAGATTACCAGGGTTTGTTCAGTCAACCAGGCCAAAATGGGGTCTTGGGGAAGAGTAATGAGGCATAAACCCTCTTCCTTTAGAATGGGGGAGCAAGTCAATGGAGAAGGGGAGGGGCGGCCATCTTGAATAGTGACCCACTACCCCTCCCTGCCAAGGGGTTTGGAGGAAGAGGAAAGTGGTTGTGCTCTTGTCTCTTCCTCTAGCGTCCTTCTCCGTCTCCCTCCAGTCTCTCTTTTTCCACTCTCCTGCCACTCCTCTCACAACAGCAACCAGCACCGCCACCTCCTCAGCTCCGCCATCTTCCTCTCCCGGCCGTTGGATGAAGGAAAGGTTTGTGGAGGTGGGCGCGGCCTCGGGAGGGGCGGAGTCACCAAAACCGCCGCCGCGACGCCCGACGGGAGTCGTAGTCTCCCCGCCCGGCGCCACTGCCAGGTTTGAACGGACGCCGGGACTACAACCCCCGTCGCGCCTTTGGTCATCCGCTCCGCCCCCCCATCCGAAAACAGGATCGGTGCCAGTGACGACATCGCGCCCGGGGATGGGAGAGCGGACCGTGGTGCCCGCCGGGAATTGTAGTCTTTCTACTCCGGCCTGCCTACTGTTGCAGACGTAGACTTTGCGCCCAATGAACTACAAATCCCAGCAGGACATGAAGGCCGACGTTGCCCCTTCCGTCGCCAAGCTTTGTGGGGGAGGGGGAGTCGAATGGTGTTTCTATTTGGAGAGGGGCTTGGCCGTGGCGGCTTCTGGGAGATGTAGTATAATTGGCTAGGGAACTATATTTCCCAGCGTGCAGGGCGGCACGGCCCTACTATTGGCTAGTCAATGTTTTTGTAGTGTTGATTAATTGCATTGGTGTGTTCAAATATATGTTTATCGAATCGAACTCGAGTTGATTAATGTTCCTATACTTAAATCATGATTATTGTTGCAAAGGCCCAAGGTCGTTTTTTGCTTACAAAGGGGGATTCTTGGCTCTTAGACAACAAGGTGCAGGGCTGGATGAACATAGCAGGCCAAGCAGCATCAGAGGAGCAGGAAGGCTGACTTTCGGGCCTAGACCCTTCTTCAGAAAATCACAGTGAAGTGTCGGCGTGCGAATGGGAAAATAAGGTGCTTGCGTGCGCCATGTTTCTGAGGGGCGCAGGGAACTGTCTCTTCAGTTGCCATTGTCGGCCATCTTTTTAAGGGGCACACGCGAGAACTAAGCCGAACTGACTCTCTTAAAATATATATATATGTGTCATTACTTTGCCTGCAGCTGCATATTTCACCCCACTTAAAGGTTGTATTTTGTTTGAAGACCGGCTCTTGCCCTTCAGTAATATGGAGGCCAGTGGCAATGTCGGCTCTTGACCCTCTAAAAGATGGTGGACAACCTTTTTTTTTCCTTCCTCCTCCCCCGCCCCCCAAACATTTGAAGCCCTACCGTCAGTTGGGAGGAGAAAAGCCGCGTGTCGCCCCTTACTAATATGGCAGTGAACCAGCCACTTATTTAGACCAAGCGCCCCGCAATAAGATGGCGAACACCCCTGAGTCTCCTCATCCTTGTTGCCATCTTCCTGGCAGTGATTGCGCGCGCAAGCTCCAGGTGTCGACGTTACACCTTGCGGAGACGGAGGTCAGCGCGCCCTTCGAACGCTGATTGGTTGATCCTCCCCTCTGGATGATGGCGGTCGGGGCGGATGTGACGGTAGTGATAGTAGCCGGTGGTTTCCGGTAGCCCCGGCTCAGTGAAGGTCGGACTGATGGCGACGGTGGCAGCAGCGGGCGTCCTGCTGAGGGCCGGTGTTCGTCCGAGCCGCGCTCTGCAGCTGCTGCGGCGGAATCTGGGCCCCGCTCTCACTGCCGGCTCCGTACCTCACAGGTACTGGAGGAGGAGGAGGAGGAGGAGGAGGAGGAGGGAATAGGGATTCCGTCTTGTAGAGGAGATGGAGGTTAATGGGATGATAGCAGTGGGGCAAAGGGGGGTCAGGGGTAACGGTAGTGGGGCAAAGGGGGGTCAGGGGTAACGGTAGTGGGGCAAAAGGGGGCAGGGGGTGAGGAGGCAGTGGGGCAAAAGGGGGCAGGGGGTGAGGAGGCAATGATAGTGGGGCGAGGGGGCAATGATAGTGGGGCAA